TGGAATTAATAAGGATTAATAACATAATGTTTCAAATTTGTAGGAATGAAATCACTCAAAACGTATCTTTCAAAAGCACGCGAGTCTATACTTTCAGTAAGTTATTTCGCTGTTTAGCAGAAGTTCCGACTATCAAAATATCTCATCCAAAATGCGCTCATCTGACATGCGCTTGTTTCAATCGAAACGTGCATTATACCGAATAACAAGAAGCCAACTGAAATGCCTCCACCTATCTTCCATATCCTTTTATTTAATGTTTTTAAGTCGGTCTGTTTCTCAAATTACTCATCAAAAACCCTAGAAAATGCTTTTTTATTTGCAGCGGTTGCAAAAACCTTTGGGTTTATTAGACATTACGGTACAATATATTGCTGGTGTGCGCAAGCAGCATGCTTTTTTTCCGGTAATAACATGGCCACATTTTACTACTTTGGTACGAAATGAGGTGAATTCACTAGCTGGTGATAACCACTGCAGACAGTTAATCCAACAGCTCCAACTTATTGGCGAGGTTTAACATTTTGTTGTTGAAGCTTGGGTGTTTTGCTGCTCAGACGATAAAATGTGAGGTTTTAATTCCTGAGTTTAAAAATGCCATTACTTTCGGACCACTGCTGAATCTGGCGAATGATATTGAAGTATTAGTAAAGTAGGGGTAGAATTTTTGAAGCTTTAAGCTATCGTGGATGCTAATAAGACTTGAGAAAATAAAGAAAAAAGTGTGAGAAGTAGTGTGGAAGTGTAGATCTCGTTTCAGTATGAAGATGATTCAGGCAAAATTCGATTATGTTTTATACATTGATTAATCTTGCAGAATTTATTCGAGGAATCACGGTGACAATGAAAGAGTATCACTTTTATCGAAAGTTAGATTAAATTCTTTCAGGTCGTCTATCTACGAGATGAGGTGTCAGAACTGGATTATGTCGTGTTGTCACCAGAATGGCTTGGTACCCATGTGTTAGGCAACCTCCTATCCGCAGAGTTCCTGTCACGTTGTCGTATGAACGGTTGTTATTCGGTCGATGATTTTACACCAATTTATCCGGAAATCTCGGATCCAGCTGATTTACTGCGGATTTTGGACACATTACAACTCTGTGCGCCTGCTGATTCTGATGGTGAAGCGGAATTTGAATTCCCAGCCTTTAATACTCTGGATTCGCCGAAGTGAATTTTCGATGATTTTCATAAACTGATTTATTTGTTTCCTTTGCATAGCTTCAGATTGCTGCACTCATGTTGCTGTTACTTCTAATTTCTAATTAAATTTTGAAGATCTTTTTATCAATTAATGAATTTCATTTACAAATTTCTTTTTTACATCATTTTTTAGGGATTTCTCGAAGTGTTCATCTCTCTTCTTTCAAAACTTAGTCCCTTATCAGATTAAAATGTATAGTCATAATAAGCACATTTTAGAGATATTTGGCAACGTGATCGGCCAACTTATGTTTATGGTGGAGTACGGGTTTTACCAATGCGTGGAATGGAACGTTCACTTCAGAGCACTTTTCCGCGGATACAAGTCGCGCTACGTCGATCGATGCACGATTTTCAGGTCAGGCGTTTTAGTTTTTTTTCGCTGAAGTTCTTACTAGATTTGGTCTAAATTTATTCAGTTTTTTATTCAAATACTAGTTTATCGGAACTCAAATTATTCGAAAATTTAAATATCTGACAACTATACGGAATTATTAGTTTCCACAGGTACGTATCTTAATTTTCCATAGGTCATTGGTATCGTTAGAATAAAAAAGTTAAAAGATTCATAAGTTTTATCATAAACTTTTAGGATCCAATGGATGCAGATCTAATGCAGTGGAACGGTTGCAGCAAGATGAGCTCTGGCCAAATGGAGGCCTTGGTTCGCTTACATGGTGATGCGGTTGAAATTCAAGTACGCGGTCCATACGAAATAGCTACATCGTGCTTTTATTTTCTGGAAGATATAACTAATCTTGTGGAGCAAACAGCTCAAGAAGTAGCACCGGGCATTTCACTTGAACGACACTTCCTTTCTCCTAAACATCTAAGAGTAAATTTGCTTATATATATATGTTTTTTTTTCTTCTTTATTCTATAGGATGCTGTCTGTCTCCATAATTCTATGGTCTTCAACGCTTTTCAACGACATCCCTACTCCTAAGATGCATTAGTGTGAAATGTGCTGTCAAGCAACATTATCCTCAACCTGTTAATCCTAGGTTCCTTTCATACCTACGTAATTTGAAGTTACACCTGTTTGTAGGCTCGGTAACTACTTTGCCGACTGATAAATTAGAATTTTGAATTGCCTAATACTTGATTAAAATGCACATCACGTCACACCTTGACAGCATTCATTCATTCGTTATCAATCTTTCTCTTCTCTTTTAATTACCTCTTGTGAAGAAATATCAGTCAGTTCAGAAATCTATAATGGCTCAAACATCATATTTCAGGAACATTTCGTGAATCCGGCAGTTTATGCTCCGGAAACAATTATGGCGATGCAGCAAGCGGAATCGTTAACCATTCGTAATAATCAGGAAGGCGATGAGCTGTTCACAGATGTTGTATGTTTCGGATCGCGGGATGTAGCTGCTTTGCTGACACTTGGTATCGATGTTGGAGTTGCACAGCTACAGCTTGCATCTCGTTGCGAACTAGCTGCGCTTTTGGATCCTTCAGATGCCATGGGCAGAGATTGGTTGGTTTTGTTGACATTTATTTTGAGCTGATTTTACTCACTCAAATGGATTTAGTACAATGTAATCAGTTTTTTAGGTCTATCCTTGCAGTCAAATTAAATCTCACTGATCAGCTTCCGGAAGTAGATTCTACGGGACAAAGTCTTTCGAGAACCGATCAACTCTTAGCGGAATGGGCGTTGCAGTGCCCAGAAACAGCAACTGTTGGTCGATTATGTACTGTCCTCGAGGAACTTGGAAGACAAGATGCTCGAGATGCGCTTTACAGGTTTCATTTTATTCGATAGCTATGCGAGGTATTCGTAAACTACATTTTGAGAAAAAGTCGAAATTTAAATTTTTCTGAATCTGTTTCATAGGACTGTTCCGTTGTATTTGTTCGCTCCGATGGATGAACAACCGGTGGTACAGTTAACGAAATACGGTGATTCGGGTGTAGTTTCTTCAACGCAGTCGACTACTGATCCACACTCTGCCTCGACTTTTTCACGATAGGGGGTAAAATTCGTGTTTGAAATTGAACTGGTTTGAATTAATTTAAATGTATTACTACTGATTTCGATTAATTAGCAAAAGCTTTTATGCTATTTTTTCTCAAAAAAGTTATTCGTTGTACGTGTATTATGTGATGCTTATTATGTGATGAAGCAGAATGGAAGGATCATTCTTTCTTCAGTTTTGGTCTCTCTACAGGTTCTTCAGTCCAGCTAATTCTGTTCATCGCTATAATCTTAGTTCTTTTTGAGATTTAATTAACTGCTGCTTTTATAACGCTGAAAAGTAACTGTTGAAGATTGGTCTTCGTCATTTCATTTTGTTTGACGGCTCGGGTATGATTTTGTAAACACTGTCGAACACTGATTCACCTTCTGCCTCAAGTCATTCACGATAGTAATGGGACCTATTATACTAATAAATTCTAGGAATTTTTGACTTAGACAAAGCCTTACTTAAACGTTCTATTCATTTTCTCGTATCCGCAATTGTCCTGCTTCATTTTAGTCATTTTTATAATTAATAATTTATTAATGTATTCTGTGATTCTGCATATTTTTTTATTAGTGTAGAAAGTGCAAATTTGGCTTAAATTTGCAACAATTCAAGAGGGAAGGTTGATTTTTGCTCTGAAACCGCTATCCATATATTGATATAACATATTGTCTAACTTTTCTAATTGGCATAACATACTTCACCAACGTATAACACTGACTGCAACTTGTGCATCAACAAATGATTCGACGTGGTAGAGCATGCCGTGTTGCACAGCGTGATTTACTCAAATAACAGAGGGCGGAAATGACTGAAGTCTCTATCTTCTGTCTTGTTTTCATTATTTTACCAAAACTTGCATTTCGTAATAGTAGTCAGATGACAACTGTGTAATTTCCTACACTGGCTACCACATCTCGGCAGATCGGAATTCTGAAATACACTTTGGCTTCTTCTGCGGGTTTCTCTCTCTTTAAATCCCATTTTTGATACTTTCTTGTATTATCTATTATTATAATTATTGATGATATTTGATCGAAATTGCCCGTGCTAATCCGTGAGCCCTATGAATGTCCGTATGTGATACCCATGCTTTTAAATTAAATCTCTTAACACACCGCGCATTCCCGCTCATACTTTTCACTGTTATTATTGCTCATATTGCGGGTTTCCCTCTTTTTAAGTCCCATTTTTGGTACTTTCTCGTATTATTTCACGACATATATTTTGGCAAAATGAAAGAATTAAGAAAATGTTGGATATATCGCATTTTAATTTGTCAATTTCACTTTGTAAAGTTTCATATTCTCATGTATCCCTGTCTCTGGATGTGTGCAATAACACTAATACCTTTATGTCTTCCCGGCGAGCAAGAACTTCAATTCGTTGCATTACCCTATCACCAAGTCTATCTCTAATGGTGCTAAACTAAATCTAATGTAATCCAGGCTTTCGTCAACTTTGGCTTCATTTTCTATTCGGTTTTCTCCATCCATTGTTAAATATCTATGTAGTACTGTTGGAAATGCTCTGAGTCATGAAGCGCATTTGAAATATTCAGGCAAATAGTTAAGGGTACTTTTTCGGAGATAATATGATGTAAGGATGAACAGAAGCTGGAATGTGGATATTCAGAATAAAGCAACAAAGAGATTCATAAAAAAATAAAAATATCTTGCAATATTTCTCGATTTCAATATTCAAAAAATTGGACAGTTCATTTGAAAATGCAACCGAGAACATATCTGAAGGGAAGATGAAATTTGGGAAAGGAATGATACAAAACTGAGGTCAAATGTTGCCGGAGTTATTGTTTCATGGTATTATTGCCTCTGATAGTATGGGAGACGACGCTGATGTTGAAAGGGCCGTTTTTAGGTCTTGTCGGGGTTTTCCTTCATTGCAACAACTCTTCTGTCGGTTTTCCACACTGCAACAGCTCTATCATAAAGCACTCTTTAGTCCTTCACCATTAAATTTTCACTTCCTTGAAGAGGTGGTTGAATTGCAGTGTTATCCTGATAAATTTAGCATAGAGATGGCCAGGCTGTGTCAGATGACATGAAAATTATAAATGGACAGACAGTTGAGAGAGCAGGTTAACGGACAGACAATCCCCGATGGAAATTATTTTAAAAATAAAATTAGATATCTTTTTTGAAACAACGACGTAAAGTGGAAAAAGTAGCGCTTATTTTTGCCGGCGATACTGATTTACTTAATGGCTTCAGCATAAGAGCTACCTGCTTACATGGGTAGAGGTACTGTATTATAACAGCAAAGATGTTGGCTCACTTCTGTGCTGTAAGGATCTAATCTCTCTAAACATGGTACGTTAAACAATAGCATGTTGATCACAAAAGCATATACATCGTTATTCTAATAAACGTTGAGGAAGCGAAGAGTATCGGAATCAGGAATACCGAAGAGTGGTAAACTTGCGGACTTACTATCGCATTTTTTTCTATCTAGACACTAAACAGAAGATAATTTAATGCATTGACTTCGTAAGAAGGCAAAAAAGAGATTGTTCTGCCTTTAAGGAATTGTATTCCAAAACATTGGAGTGAAATTTGAGTTCACGAATAGTGTCCGGAAATGTGCTGCTACTTTACCTTTTGGCAAAAATGTCAAATAAGCGGGCGGCGACGTTACTTGCAACTAGTTCGCTGGTGTTTTGCGTCACCAACCTTAAAACCAATGTTGTGTCACCGACAAACTGCTCAACGAACATCTGTGTAAGATGGCTTGTCATTTCTTCTTGCGGCTGCTAAAAATCAACTAACATCAAATGAACTTAAACACGAATGTTAAATGTCATCTGTATTGCGACGGGTGCGCACATATAGCTATGCCCAATCATCTAACTTGTGCTAAACTAACACCAAGTCTGACGAGTCGAATTAGAAATCGATAACTTGAAGTGATCGAATTAAGGACATAGAGCCAGTAGAGGAAATTGATAGCTGTCAAGATTATTATGATGAGTAGCCACCACCACAGAGCGATGTATATCTTCTCGTTGAACATATTCGCCATCAGGACGCATTGGATAGTATGGTGGTGTACGTTGCCCATAACACGAATCTGAAATTCTCAACTTCATCGTTCTTTTCCTTCTGATGACGTCAACTGGTCCGTAGCATACTACTTTGTACACTCTTTTTATAATACTCCTGTAAGAAGGCGAACCTTAAAATCGCACATAGTAACCCTTGGGAAAAGACCGGTACTTTGCCAGGTTTGTTGTTTTATCAGTGCTTTCGTCAGATCATATCCGTTTCCGCCCAAATAAAGTGACACTAACCAAAACTGAAATCCGATAAATTTCTAGGCCGCAATACCGCTATTATTAGAATGGTTAAAGGAATTTCAAATGATATTAAATGAAATGAAATAAAATGAAGAAAAATGCTTTCTGCTCTGACCTGAACCGTTGCATTTGTTATGAATAACAATTTGGTTATTAGATAGATTGTACTGAGATAAGACTGTGTGAAAGTCCTGAAAATTTGCATTAATCAGACAGATTTGTTTCAGAAAACGAGCTACTCATACGGCCATGCATCGCAAATCCGTTAAGTCATACTGAGGGCACGTTCTCTTCCAAAACTTAAGCAAGAAATATCAGCTTGATAAGTTAATCCTAAGCACTACTGAAGAAAACTCTTTCCTGTTTCATCAGTTATAATGTGTTACCAGCGAACTTGATCATTTCAGGATATCTGCCATTCCAAACCAATGTTCTGTATGGTACCTTGTAAAGATGACAAGCAAATTACTATTCTGTAATATTTTATGCAAATGCTTGGTGGATTTGTCAGCGTGATAGATATGACTGGCAATGGCATCAACGGTATCATGCGCCTCATCACTGCAAGGATCCATATGACGTACACTGTCCGTCATTGATATCACTGCACGCGTTTGCACGTCTGCAAGAGAACTGAGAATAATTTAAGGAAGTAATGAAATTTCCTCATTTTCTTTGACTTGACCATTTGAATAGAAAGATGGAAAGTAGAATAGAATTCCATGTAAAAAACGAACTTGAAGTCCAGTTGAGCATTCTCCAGAAGATATGAGGTATTATGAATAACATTGCTTGCAACATTAGCGTGAATGGTACCCACTAAAGCAGTTCACAAGTTAATATCATATCAGATACGACATCCTGTCTATATCACAATACGATTATTGAGGAATAAAAAAATTATTACTTGATAATAAGTGATAAGTTTCTCGTCACGGTGCTTGTCACTTTGTGGCATATTTTGTTCCAACGGAATGTAATAGGTATTCTCGATAAAACAGTAGTCCTCCGCATATTGTTCCCATGATTTTTGTGAGGCTAACTCGGCAGGCAACCAACACTGAATCGGGTCACCTCCATATTCCTCCAAAATTCAATCTTCAAGCCATCAAAGTCTAGCAAATTCTGAACTTTTAACTTCCAACAATTCGATTAAGACCTCATGGTTTTGATCGATTCAATTGCATTTATTTCACATCAGTTAAATTTAATCGACTTGAAGTTTTACTCAGTACCATCCGTTTTAAAACCCTTCCCATATTTCACTGGTCTTCTATGACTTATTAAAAGCTCGTTAAAACCTTTGAAACGGCTCTTCATTTATGAATCAAACCACAGATTCCCGCTCGACATATTTGCTTCATTTGAATCAGATTCTCTATCTTAATCTATCATTATAGAATCACAAAACAGAACCTTACTTACCTTTCAAATTAGTAAATAGTATTTCGGCATCTTTTGTAATAAGACATTACTGTAAAAGGTTAGTAAAATGTGGCATGAAGTGACTCTTTCCTCATGCTTTGAAAGAAGGTGACATGCATAAGCTTTTCATCCTAATCTCTCTCTTCCATCTTCCTCTCAGCAAATTTACCTTCGTTTTCTCTGCTTAACGGGTGGGATATGTTTAAGTGAAATTAATGATTGTAAAAACGATGTCACTTATCACTACCGTAGTTGGCAAAAGTATAAGTAAAACCTATAGGGATGAGTAAGAAAAAGCATTTGAGGTTATAAAAATAAAGCACCAGAAAGTGAGAAATATTTAGAAATGGTGACGATACAAGTAAACAGAATGAATAGTCGGCACTCATTGACCGGATACGGTAGATATATTTAGTGTTGAATCCGAAAACGGAAAAGGGAAAATGTCCCAAGAGGAGAAAATTTCTGCATTACAATAACATAAATCATTGGAATACTTGCTCGTTTGCAACGTTCTGATAGAATTCCGATGTTTTAGGGAAAGATATCAAATACGTGAATGTGTAAGCCTAGCTACTTATAGTAGTAACTCTTGCAAATAATAATTATCACTAAAAAGGAATAAAGGAATGAGAGTTGATTGCTCCAAATAAATAAATGATGAAAGAAATTGGAAAATTGAGAGGAAAGAAGATGAACCAGATTTCTTTCTTCTTCATCGCAGTATGCCTTGTTGAATGAATGCAGAATTGGATTGTAAAGATTGCTCTCAGACTCTTTTGAAAGATTTCATCTTTTATTTTGATGACGGTAGTTAAAGGGGCATACAATAAAGGACGCACCGCTCTCCTGTATATTATTGTGAATTTGGGAAACGGATCATTGCAATTAATAAAATTAACTAAGAAACCTTGGCTATTATTGTGAATGCCGCAATGAGCAGTATAAATGTGGTAATATGATAATTCAACCGATCGATGGAATCCTCCTCATATCGCGGTTTTGTCAGCGATTCGATCACTATCGACAGTTTATCCATATTCAAAAGAATATCGACAATAAATATTGTTTGCAAAGCCTTAGTTGAAATTTAGAAATTGGTTTTTCACTATCGAATCAGAATTGTTTCCTTCAGGTTTGAATGTTTACAGGCCAATTTGAATTTTGAGTTCTGAGCTAGAATGTCGCTTTTATGAAGACTGATATTAGTTTGCACAATGAGAGAAGATTTTGTGATAAAGATTCAATATGAAATAAAATAAACAAATCACTATTAAGCATATCACCGAACGAGCGATGGCAAATGCCTCCATGTCTAGTGGAGATATGAGGAAGATGAAGGTAGAACGAAGGGATAGTGAAGTGCGCTGAAGAAATGGGCAACGAATACAACAAGAAGTGATTTCATCGCCTGTTTTCATCATTGCATCTATTTCTCGCACTGATTTATTCCAATGATTTCAGAGAAATTCCGCAGCAAAAAAGAATGATTTTCGCTGTGAGCGAATCAACGGTTAGCCCTTCAGACGAATCCATGCTCCGTATCACTGTTTCATATCAAAAAGCTACCATGTCGACTGAAACTTTTTTCAGATAGTTACACTCTTAGCTCTATCAACTTCGAAAGTTCCACTTTCACCACGTCATCATTAGAGTCTTCCCAATTTCACCACATCATTTATCTTCACCGTTCCCATTTAATAGTGTCACTGTTTTAAAAAAGGACTGTATTGAACATTCACCGTACAACTTTCCACATCTTTTTTAAAAATTAAGGGACATAAAGGAACATCGTGCTGCTAGTTAGTGAATCTTTCGCAAAGCTCAATATATCGAAACCATTCGGCTTCTTAGCCACTCAAGGTTCGAATATTTTGAATGACACGAATTGAATTAAATCACAAAATGAACATTTTCGTTCCTTTATCTAATCCATATTAACATAACTATATGACTTAACTATTTACAAAAGCTGATCATTATTTTAATGCCGACAGCGGACTGAAATATATTATCAAAACTGAAAGAACTTTTCATCTGTGATTACTACGGAATTCGAAGTAGTGTGTAAAAAAAATTTTATTAGCTACAGTAAAGTATATCATATCGATAAAACCTTTTCTAAATATGTGCCACTGTACGGCACAGAGCGAACGATGCATTCACATGGATGTGACTGTGAGGAACTTGAAGCAGAAACAATTTACAACAAACCATTGGACGCAGATCTGAGGAAAATAGCCACACCTCTTACAGCAAAATAATCGAATGTGCCATATATTCGGAACTGATAACAACGTATCAAAACGAGAAGTGCAATGTTATCCAAGAAATGGTAAAGAAAATGCTGGCCATTTGTTTTGCAAAAAATAAATTCATAAAATTATGCACCAAAAAAACTCTGAGGAAACAAACATAAAACAAATGTACTGATCGTTTTCAAAAATATTCTCACAAATAATACCATACAAAATCGCGTGTGCGAACGCAAATACGTGCATACATTGCATCGACAAAGCAGATGTGAACAGACTTCACTAATATTCTCGTAGGGGAAATGTCTGCCGCTATCAAAATTATTAAAAAAAGAGCTTGATCTTGAACTAACCCCCTTATCAGGTTAATGACTTTCTACTTATTACTAGTGCTCCACTTGACAAATTAAAATTAAACTATAAATCTTTCAGGACCAATAATATTTAACTATATGAATGATCACTTACACGAAGTCGATTTGTCAGTTTTCAAGCTTGTTCAAATCATTTTTTTCTCATAATATCTAATAATCTCTTAAAGTCTCCATTTAGACAACTCCTTAAGATCATAATATATTCTTTCTAGGAGAAAAAACACAGACTTCCTACTTTTCTCCTCCTTCCCGTCAAACACAAAATATCAATTTCAAAAAAAAAGGAAATCGCAAGAATTTTGTCAAGTTGAAATGAAACATGAAGAAATGATAAGGAAGAAAGGAACTTTCAGGAAAAATTTTTGAGATAATAACAAATTATAACCATAACTAAAAATAAAGAAACAATAGTCAGTCTGTAACATAAAGGAAATGACACATCTGCTCATCCCAGCCTACTCTATTTACTGACCAGAATAACTGGTGCTATTACGATAATTGCTTCGACGATTGTAATTATTGTGGAAATTGCCGTAAGTACTTCGTTGCTGATTTCCGTAATTGTAGCCTAAAAAAGTATACTTACATCTAAAACAACCGAGTTCCAATCCAGTTAGTAAATCATAACTGGAAATGACTTTTACGGACTTCACTTTGTCCTGATTCATACGGTTCCTTTCTTCACGAAGAAAGTTTCCAATCACCCTGAGGCGTGAATAAAAAGCAAGGAATCTTTGGCGAGCCTTAATCATGGGTCTTGAGAAAAATGGAACAAATTTTAATAAGTTATAAACAAATTTTAATAAGTTAAATTTTAATAAAATAAGCTAGGCTTAAACCATCTATATTTACCAGTTTCGTAATAAAATAAAATAGGAGCGTAGTTAAGACAGAAATGAAGCCATATACACTAAATTAACCATAAGCATTAACAATCTAATGTATAGCGCGCAAAAGTAGCAGTGCTCCGCAGTGCTACGTAAATATTAAGGCTTACCAGAATTGTAACGATAATTACTACTCATGTGCCCACCACGGCCGCCACGTACACCCATGAATCCTCGAGGACGGCGATATGTAAGTGAGCGCACTGCAGAGTGCCCAAATGTCTCTTGATTGGTTTCACGCTCTTTTCTCCAGTCCGTACGTGGTTTTCTATAACACAATAGCAATTTTTGAGTCACACATTTCGAAGATCACTCGAAAAACCCATAGTTTATTTACAACGACAAAATAGTAATAAGAACAACAAAAATTGAAAAACGTGCGTGAACATACCCTTCCTGTTTTTCAAGTGCTTCACAAGAAATTCGATCGAAAAATGATGAGCTTTTATCGTAGTACCGCTTTTCCTGCTCCTCCTGGCCATTTTCAGCGATCTCTTCTTCGACAACATCTGAACCAGCATCAGATCCCGTTACTGACTTCTTACTTCCATCTAAAAAAAATCAAAAAACGAAAAATGAAAAACTATGGACCTCCCTACATCACTCTCATGCATATTTAAAGAAAGTGTCTTTTTAAAACTTACTATTTAGCAATGAATACTAACTGTTATAATGGAACATGAATAAAAAAAATCTTGAATAACGAAAAGACTATACGAATAAAGTGACCATAAATAGTACAGGGCTTGTTAAATACGACATAATGTTGGCTTTGATTTACCAAAATTGAACGTTAAAAAATTTAAACAAGAAATAACTAAAAATTGATTGGCCTGTCAGTTAGTCCAGTAATGGCCGGTATTGTTGGAAACGGTACTTCACTTGCTACGATATGACTTTTTTTAAATATTATAGTAAATAATAACACAGAGGGTAACAAGCAATATGTGAAAAGAATTATGTGTCCAAAATCAAGCATTCGTTATTTTCGCCTCAGATAAATGAATTTGATTGCTGACGAAATGATGGTACAACTTCCAAAAAGGTGCATAAACTTGAACAAAAAAATTGCCACTAACCGAATATTAATACTATACAGAAGGTACTATGCAACTCTCACTCCTTACTGCACAATAACAAACCCTCCAGTTTGGTCTTCTTAAGATCGAGACTGATATGATTCAGCGTTTCCTGAAATTGCTCATTGGCCTTCTCGAAATCGTAGTCACTTTCAAACTTCAGCTTCTCTTTCGATTGCGGCTTGCCACTTATCCCACCACGATGACCTCCTCCGCCGCGCTGATAATTTACACTACTTCCACGACCGAAAAAACTTCCGCGACTGTCACGATAATTATTCTGCTGCCCACCTCGTCCGTAGGTTCCCTGATAAATTCCACCAACACTTGGATAATTCTGCTGTCCTGAAATTCGAAATATCTTACAGCTTTGAAAACAATTGCCAAAGCTGCCTGAAGCAACTCACTGGCTACCCATTTCCATAACAGCAACAACATTCACAGTGGAGTAAAAAAGTTACATTTGAAATTACACAATAAAAATGATTAAGATATACTTGGGAGTGAATAAAGGGAAAAAAAAGCAATCATACTGTACCTTAATCAGCATGAAAGTATTAAAAAGTAAGCGCATCGAGACAGTGATAATCAATATGAATTTCGCCCACTTTTACTATGACATCCTAACGTTTCGACGAAAATAGTAAAGTATACAAGAAAATATGATTTAGAATTTGTGCACAATCTAATGTATATATAATGCGCTAGTGCTAATTTTCGACCACCATAATTCCTTTCTAATTGAAAAAGCAATTACTTGAAAACTAAAAAAACTAAATTGAAAAAAACTTTATGCGACCAAATAAAAAGGTTAGCCGTATAAAGTTTTTTTCAATTTAGTTTTTTAAATTGTTCGGTGAAATAGTGAAATGAAAAAAGAAAAACAATCAGAAAGTGTGCTCAAGCTTCCTTTCTACACCAGCAAAACTTTAATCATGTATATACTAACGTCCGGTATTAAGTGCTCCTTGATGTATCTGTTGCTGGAAACCACCACGATTTTTAGTACCTGTCACAGGTTGCATCGGATTTGGCAATGAACCTGTATGTTGATTGCGCCCAGCACCAGGAGCACGTGAATGTGCCGCATCTTCTGCTGGCGAAATTCGATTCGGTGTGCCAGAACGCGATGCTTCAAATACATTGAAATCAGATGTTGTACTTGGTATATTAATATATTATCTTTGAGAAGCCAATTCTGTTCTAGGTTAATTTACAAAGCCACTTTTCTATTTTTCTAACTGATCTCATACCATGTAACCATATAACCACTAAGTTGAACTCCTAATTTCTACATCAAATTGAGGAAGAACTCACATCCAGCGCTAACAATGTTGCTACCTACAGGTACGTTTGGAACTGATGGATGCATTGGGATCGTACGTCCAGAAGAAATCGATAATATGGCCGGATCATATGCCAGACCGCTAGCAAGTTGAGGCACTGGTTTTGGTGTCTCACATACAATCAAATCTTTGATGTCTGTTGCTTTGAAAATAATATATTCATATATGTCATCACGAGCAGCAACTGGATTTGGTGTCGGTCTGTCTTCCGTCCCGAACGAACGCACTGAAATATCATGTAAGAAGAAAAACAATTTCAGCAATGTAACAGTCTAAAGTAGCAACTGATAGATCACTTAAGACAAAAAACCGCTCCGACTTAGCCGCTACATTTACAGTAGTGGTGATGCAACATTGGATATATACCACGAAAAATTTTAAGAACACCAATTAAGTGATTGTCACAATGGAGACAGGAACCACAGTTTAATTAGTTAGTAGAGGAAATAACTTGTGATAGTATTTGATTCATCAGATCTTTTTGAGAAGGCAGTGCTCATCAGCATATGCGTCAAGTTTCCTTACTTGTCTCAATCTTCAGTTAATGTAAAATGACTGCAGCAAATAATCCATATATAGTAATCGGTGGTATTAACGACACATAAGATCGATAACTTAACGTCTGATTGGTGTTACGGTACAGGCTTTAGTTGCACAGACTGAAGGAACAATACTTGACCACGCATATCATCACATACTGCATAGGAAATTCAGAAGTTACCTTTGGCAAGTGCAATAGTTGATTCATTGGTATCGACGGTGTATAATATTCCTTCGTAGCGTATATCCAATTTGGAAATCAAACTTATTCTGCTCCCAATATAGGGAGTTTGCTGTGCCATTATACCACAATTATTCAGCCAGAATGAAAAACGCAATGAATAAGCCCTACCTACCCTGAACATAATAACATACGATATCATAATGATGGCAGAAACGATATACCCACGAGAGATAAGAGATATTATGCTTGACATTTACGTATCCTTTACAATGCATCCTTACCTTCTGTATATTATGCTGCAGCTATATATTCAAGTGTTTATTACAAGTGCTCAAATATTACTTAATCATGTTAAATACAAGGAAAATACTTATGCAGATCAAACAGCAACACCTAGTATCTCGCAAAAAACCTTTCCAACACACTGTTACGGAAAACTTAGGTTTTTAAAATCTGTCGATTGCAGAGTCTGTTTCCGAAAACTGACTCCAAACGAAATTTCCAATGAGGCTCCTGAAAATTAGCACGTTATAAGTGAAATACACATGAAGGACACGTAAAAGCTTGAAAACGCGTAAAGTGCAAATGCAATCCCACGCAAACCAGTTACTTTGAAGAACAATAAAACAATCTAGAAATACACCAAATGAAGGATATGTGGGAATGGTAATATCACCATCGACAGAACCTCTTGTTTGGCGTTGTATTGAAGTAGATCAAGCATCCAGCAGAAGTCACCGAAGAGATAGCACAGGCTATAAATACCTTGCAATTAATTACTTCATCATCTATCTTACCTTATTCCAATATTACATTCTCTTCCAATCACCACAGACATTATGCCAACATGAAGTGCCTCAGGGAAGCACTGTAAAGGGAAAAAAATGATTCTCATTGAGTATATGCATAAATACCTAAATTCCTGGTCACTTTTAATATTCTAACAATATATATTATTGGAAAAGAACGATAACGCAACTACTTGTAACGACGAGTAGACATTTGCCACAATAACTGGGTCAAATCCAGCAAAAATGTGGACCACATCAGTACTCACAAAAAAAAAAGACTGCTACTAGGGAACGAGTACATTCTGTCGAAGAAAGACAATTTTTATTGAATGAAGTATTTAAAGCAGGAATGCAGAATGCTTAGTAAAAGACTACTAAGCTTGCTCTAGCTAATTTCCTCTCCCAGAATCTCGCACATCATTTCCATTTATTTTTCAAATTGTAATGAAAGATCTATGTTCGCTATAAATTCTTTACATTTAAAGCACATCTGAAGAAGCAGATCAACGATAGGTATACTTTCCTCTTCAGAAAAATAGTCCCAGCTGATCACAAAGATCACAAAGACGAAGAAAGCAAGATTAGAATAGCGATAGATGTTGAAGAATATTCACGTGGCCTGCATCATTTTCACTACAACAATGTACAGTAGCGCGATATGACATATTTTACATTATGCAGTAATGACTGTTCTGTCATAACATCACAAGTGTTCATGAGTGATAGCATGTACAGGAATACAATCATCAGCAAGGACACTATTTCACATCAATATAAATAGGCTTGGATCTGCAGATCACTTGGATTGATATAAACCTGAGTTCTCATGGCGACCCATTATCAAGAACAATTCTGTCAGGAACAAGCCAACTGACCCATTCAACTTTGTTATCCAACCTTACCTTGTCGCAACATACTACACACTACAAGAAACCTCAAAATCAACAGATTCCCCATCATACATATTTCCTCACGTAAGCACACTCATTCACATGCACATGCATTTGCCCACATGTATCCACGTACACGTACGGACATGCACACTCATATGCGCACACATTCATCTATGTGCGTATGTAACTCACCGTCCATCCCTCTATTCGTCTCGTCTCTCTTCGTGCAGGACTCTTTCTCAGCACGAAAATTAGTTGACTACACGCAGATTACGAAAGAATATAGAAACTTGAGAGGGCGCATGACGGCACGACAGTTCGGAAAGTTAAGCAGACAGAAAGGGTACTGATGAGAAGACCAATTGAGCAAGTGACAAGTCTCGAGACTTCGTAATTAGTGAGGCACTCATCGAGAAACAGGATCGGAGACTTCACCATCAAGTGCTAATTGAAGCTGTACAGTTTCGAGAACTTTGTCTTAGCCGAGATATCCCAGTGATGATTCCGTCTTACTCAGGTCTCCAAACTGTTTTGAAAAGGGCCCAAAGGAACCACGTGCATCAATACATCAAGGTCGTCAGGCGCGCTCCACTGAATATGTAAACCTCAGATTTCCGAAACTAATTTCAGTATTTCGAAATTTATACAAACAATGATACCTACTTATCACTGCCACCTGCTACATTGTGCTGAATAAATGTGTTCAATCCCGTTGCTGTGGGTAATGACCCTCCGATAGTTGATAGCATCTCTAACTTTGGTATGGATTTGGATAAAACAGGGCAGCTGTTATTGTATTTCATCATCAAATAACACTGCTGATTAGATTTAAATACGCAGTCAGTATACAGCTTATAAATGAGTAATAACAATGATAACAGCAATGGTTTGAATCAGTAGTGAAACAGTATAACTCACCAGAATGTGTGATAAGAAGTGATATGATGACAGTGACAAGAACAAAAAATAGATAGGTGAATGGATACGAATCAATGAAACGAGTTTGATTTGAGAATGAAAGACGTAAGAATGTCATCACATACTAACCCTGTTTGAAAAAAAATTCTTCCAGAAAGTACAGCAATAGTAATAGTAATGATAATGATAATGATAACGACAATAATAATAATTAATAATGACAATCAGTAATAGTGATAACAAATAACAATTAGAAACTAATAATAGTAAAATAGTAACGATAATGGCAATAAATAATAATACTTTGGGAGTAACAATACTAAATAAAAGAGAAGGAATGCTGAGTTCTACTATTAAAATTAAATAATACTAATGCTGTGGACTGAAATCATGTTGACCCTGCAGAAAGCAGACTAGAATGGCATCCGCAAAAGTATACCAAAAAAATGGCTTGATTTATATTTGAATTGCTTTCAACATACATGAATGAAAAAGCACTGTAGCATCTCAAAAAAAGAAAAAAATTAGGTGAGTAGAGAATCGAGGTAGCGGATCAAAAGTTGAGGTAGTTGATTTAGACATAATTTATCGTGTTTGGCATAGCGAGAAAATCCTGGTTGAAAATGCAGCCATCATTTTTTCTTTTACAAACTCTACTTAATGAATTACAGGTCAGGTGGAAAAACCGACAGTATAAATTCTTTTCTTGCTGATAATGATAAAATTGACTTACTGTAATAAGGCTGGTCTTCTTTCATAAAATATTTCGTCATGTGCAGTCAAGAAGTGAGTCCCTCTAGCATGAAGTGATCCTGATTTACTCAGGGTAAAAATCAAAGTAATATAAATGTTATGCAAAAAGGAATCTAATATATATAAATAAAATCATGAAATTATAGGGATCGTGCAAAGACGAGCATGTTATTGTGAACAGAGTAAAATTAATAATAAAAAGAAAATAATAAAAAAAGGAACCGACATAAAAGGATGAACAAAGTTTCAACAAATATTTGAAAACTCCTTAATGATTGTTCGTTCCTCTCAATATAAAACGCCTCTTACTAATTCATTCTTAATTTGTCAGCTTATTAACTACTAGATTTTTTTCAGAACACTACTACAACTTTTGCAAAAGTATTTTATTGAACTCTTCAAAAAAGTAAATGAAATGAGTCAAAAATGATGACTAGGAAATAAAATAAATTATGCAACAGCATTAAGGAGTTATCCCTCGTACCCGATGTGTCCAGATAACTCCAATCATTGACCTCAACTACTAGTATTATGAGTACAAATGAAAATTCCAATAAATGATAACATAGCCTTCTACCAGATAAAATGAAAGACTCCACACTTTGATATGAGAAAGAGAAACTTAAAGCGATTCAACGAATACTATTAATTATCAACAGTTCTGATCCAGTTGGAGTGCATCATATCCATACGGAGTTCCTCAGCTATTTGTCGACCATCCTTTTGAGTCCGACTACAATGCATTTGTTCCCAGTGATGTATAAATTCGATTATCATAAACGTACGGTAATCACATCGACAACAACTCAATATTTGTTGAGGATATTTCCTGTGGTCAATATCACTGTTCAGCTTAATCTATAAAACATTAGAAATTAGTTTAGTTTATGGGAATAATAAATATGTCAAGACTATCACTTACTGTCTCATCACAATATTGATATAGCTTTATTTGTTTCAGTGCTACTTTCATCCAAGTATTCATTGAATGATGAAGCAATGAATTTGTCTGGATTCAAGCTAATTCATTTTTTATCAAACAGTAAAACGGTTGATAGAGCAAATGGTTCATTTTCCAAGAAAAATTATTCTATTTAAAACTGACATTAAGTTTAGCTCAAAATTTCTTTTTATTTAATAATCATCCATTTTCATTAAATCCGATCTGATGTTTTATAATGTGATTTTCGCTGAAGTTTCAAATAAATAGCGTAATGTAGCAGCTCAGTAATGCAACCAATTTGAATGCATTGTTAAACCTTATTCAATAATAGATTGTTAGCAAAGAATAAATCAATGCCTGCGATTCATCAGAATTCGTGACAGCTTTTTTATAAAAGAACGAAATAGGTACATCCAAGTGGTGCATCGCAATATGAAAATCAACAGCATTTTTGGTTCCTGACGAATAATCACAAAGCTCGCACTTGAAGAATGATTCTGCTCCATGCTTTTCAGAATGAGTATTATACGCTATGATTGTACCGCACCGGAAGGAGCATTTGCTACAGGTAAACTGGAAATCATTTGAAATTGAGATCTTAACTTTTAATGAAAATAGCTCGTTGTCTAATTCTATTCCTAGACGACAATCATGCGATCAATATCAAGCCTTTTATTTTTCATTACTTAAGCAAATTAGAATTTTACTGAGTATGAAGTCATTTCGAAAATGACTCAAATCAAACAAGTTTATTCTTAATTCGAGTCCAATTTTGACCAATAACTTCAAATTCTGCAAATTTCAAAAATCTAAGTTTCTTTATATTAACCATATAAGGAAAGAATTTGAAATTCAATTTCATACTCTGATACTGGTAGAATTATTACGAAATGACAATGTGCTGTCGAGACCACCAACCTGCCCATCTAAGTGCTTTTCTGGTCGACGAATTTTCGGCCTCATAAATGGTTCAGAAATATTTTGTCCGGCTCGCTTTATGGATGTTATTAATCGTTGTTGTATGTGCTGCAATATTTTAAATTCTTCCCAATCTAGTTTATGGAATCCGTAAAATATAGAACTATGTAACCAATTCAACATTATCCATTAAAACAAGAAGATTGAGAAAGTCTGTATTGAAAAAAAGAAAAGAGACATTCTCTTTAATGTACCGCAAGTAAAGGCATTGAAATCCAAGGCTCAATTAGCTTGCAAATTGATGAAAACTTGAAACTGAAACCAAAAGAACTGTTAGATCTTATTCTTACCAGCTCTAAAATAGCAAAGCCAACCAGAGCATGATAAAGACGATGTTGTTGGAGGCGATCTTCATAAGCAGTTTTGTAAGGGCATATGGAGCATTGATGAACTTTAACATCTGAAGGTATGGTTTCAGGGTTTTGATGATATCGATGTCTTATCAATCGCTTCCTATAAAATATCTTTGATATGAATGAATTTCTGCGCAAGCCATCTAAATTTTGTTACATGATAACCATATGATAGGGATGGTATTTGTGATTTACAATTTTCTTAATCTACCCATAGTTACATTTTGGTACTGAAATGATAATCCCAGTTCTGAAGATAAAAAAGAGATCTATCCTTGCTCAAATTTCCCACTTGTTTATTTCACTCTCCAAAGTTTACAACAAGAGAAAATTTGACACAAGACAGAAGACAAACCTATTCTTCGCAGTCGAACGAGATGGCAATGAAGGAAAATGCAGGTTCAAATGCCAGTGTAAAGAAATTGGACAAAAAGAACTGTAGGTGCATATATTGCAACTATATTGACGATGTCCGACATGCATTTCTTCGTGATACTTGAAAAGTACCTCATCCGTTCCATAATATGGACAATGTTTATAGCGAAATATCATAGATACTAATTCTGAAATAATAATTAACAGTAACAATTAATAATAATGATAATGATGATAATAACAATAAATAACTAGTCAGAATGAAACGATTATGTCGAAATTGCATCAATCTGAAGTCAAAAGGAATACAATAATAAAATCATCGAAGACATACTATAAGCTCAAATCCGAAGCTTTTCTCTTACTTTCAGGATTTAATATCCCTAAGAGTGTATAAATTGCTCTGGAGTCAGCTAAGAGATTCATTCACATCAGAAAAGTACTTGCTTCACCCAGTAATAATTGCAGAAACTGAAGTTATGCTCTACCTGTATCATTCATTGCTTTAAAATTTGGTAATTTTGAGGCAATGCGGCTCAAATTGAACTGATATATTTTTGCATCCTTAGTACAGTTAAGCCAGAGCTCATTTTTTGAATTTACAATACACTTTTTCTTCTTTACAACGCCTTCTACTGCAGTTATTCCATGAGTACTGATTTCTTCCGAATAATAATCTTTTATTACTCTAAAAAAAGACCGCACTTAGGAAATAAAAAAGTGAGCAAAAGATAAAATTAAAATTATGCTATTAGGGACTATTCGTAATCCCTTTTAGTATGTTAAAGCCTTGGAGAAAAATGTTCTTCGTATCAACTACTATATGTATATAGACAGGCAGATATAAGCGTAAAATATAGATTAATGAAATGTATCTTTAATTTGCTTTATTTAATCTTATAAGTTCATATATATTGAATGCACCTCAACTTATTGTGATACATAATCAGAAAAATCAAAAAGAGAAAACAAGGACAAAAGAATGCAGTTCTTACATGAGTTCTTCCATTTTTGTGCCACAACTTTTCGGACTATCATGATTCGTATGGCTTTGACGATGCTTCATTAAACAGAAATTTGAGGCAACGCTGTAGCTGCATAAATCACATTGATAGCGCGATGCCTTCCGATGTTTTTGCTTATGGTGCCAGAATTTTCCATAGCCATTACATGTAAAAGAACACTCTCTGGAACAGCACAAAAAAAACAGTGGAATCAGTGATCAAATGAAGAATGAAAATTGAATTTTGAATCAGATCATCCGTAAAAAGCGATTACAGATTTATATTATCAATAAATTCTTGTCGCCAAATATTTTATTTCCAAAAGCATATACACACACCAAACCATGTCTGATAAGTAAACAAAATTGAAAATAATAACTAAAAGCCTAGTTAGAGAAGGAGAACAGTATACGAAGCGATGACAGCTGCAAAGTATTCTCAAAGTTTCCCTAAGTTTACTGTAAATGGCAACAATATGAAATCTCAGGCTGTGAGTGAAAGCTCCAAATACATCAAAAATGCCTATGATAATCGTTTTTAAAGTCATGTTAGCAAATTAGTTGGTTATAATAACTTCCACTAAAACTATTAACTTACTGGCAAGAATAATCGCCATTTGGAAGTTTAGCATGCTTTTTACTAGCAGTATGCTTGATTAGTGAAGCATTAGATAAAGGTTCGATTGGTGGATAAAATTTCACGTGATCCCGTAATTTCGTCTCGATAGAAGTACTGAATGTACAATTTCCGCAACGCAATCGACTATTCCGTAAATGATTCCTAAATGAAAGAGCAAAAAATAAATATGGAAAAAACATGCATGAATCAACACCAAATGCAGTATTCATTCAGTATAACAGTTAAATGTACACCAGAATTAGCATTGATTCATACACATTATTCAGCTACATTTACCTTCTAATTATCATTATTATCTAAAAGCGCGGATTAATAATAAGTTTGGATATTTGGATCAAAGATTTAACTCTGGTCCCTTTTTTAGTCCTTAAATCAATTTAATCATTAAAGTAGACCTGTGGTGGACAAAAAGTGTAGCGCATATCCGCGTCCGATAGGGGCACCAACGACAGAATAACTGATGGTCACTTCGTTCCTCCACAATTTTGCCATGCCGTAAAATAGAATGATTTCTGAAGCCATCTTCTTTCCGTGCCTATATTTATGGATGTATAATACAGATTGAGATAACATTTGGAAGAGAAGAATGTAACTTATTACATTAATCCATGTGCAACATGTCCTTAATCTAAAAACATCGTTAGACATAAAAACATCACACCCATCGAACCACTAATTTATTATTTATTATTACATATTTCTTAACTATATTTGAGGATGGGACGTTCAGTTCAAGGGACTTTCGTCAGCAACAAAACAAACTCTCCCTTTTTTTCGGTGTGGTAGAACTTTTGTTATCGGTATTCAAAAATGAATATAAGAAGTATTATAATTACAATGTTGGAGATGGCAGTGATGTCTTCCTTTTCAGCCATATGAAGTTGCAAGTGGGCATTCAGAACGTGAGATCGTTTCGTGCTGTATGTACATTGCCCGCATGCAAATTCTCTTTTCCCAATATACATCTGTGCATGAGTTCGTAAATCACAGATATGTCGACTGGTATAGGGACATTCACCACATTTTTCCACTTTCTATAAACATGAATTAGTGTAATATGATTGCCGAATATCAAAATGTATTTTTCATGCAACGATATAAAAATTGTTATTTCCATCACTTTATCCCTCGTTTTTATCATTTCCATTTCAAGTTTATTAGATATATTAAATTTCACAACAGATCATAAGAAAAAAAAACTATCACGGATCACATTTTTAATCCATGTTATGGCAAAGTTGAGATTTCGCGAAAGCAGAAACTATTTCACTCATTCTAATCTTACTATTATGCTATCGCCCGCCAGATAGAAAAATAGATAAGTTCATCAGAACGCAAACTATATAAACTATACGCACAGCACAGATAGTCTTCCCATTAATGCACAGATCTTTTGGGCATCCAGGCATCTGAAGTAGCTGTTGGTGAAGTCGTAAATGTTGCGTCAGTACAACTGTTGAATAGCATGAAAATGTGCAGTGTTCACATTGGAAACATGGATGTATAAGTTGTGAGAATCAAACAATCACTTACGAAATAAAAGGTCAACACTCGCGAAGAAACGAAGCAACGATCAGGAAGTAACTAACTATCTTGATGTTCGGCTTTTGAATTATGCTTATTTTCATACCACAACAGACGGGACTTCTGCTTGCAAACCTCGAAATCATGAAGTGGGACAGCTGCGAAACATTCTTGGCCGTCGCAACTCAAGTCAGGCTTTGTAGGAATCAGGAAGGCTGCTCTCTTCGTAATCCATCCTTTTGTAATATCTGCAAGATGAGTGATCGTATGGTTAGCGTTAGTGATGCTCTACTAGCAATGTGAAGTGTGCCAAGTGGTCACATGTATTCGCGCACACCTCACTATTGATGAGTTTGCTCATTGAGGAAATCTATTGATTTGGTAGAGGAAAGAAGTACATTGAGAATTGAAACTGTCATTGCTACAAGAAAATCTGACAGGGACAGTTATATCCTGGCCTAAGAGCCTATTTATCATCTTTCTCACCACTAGTATCGCAATGGTCTGAAGGGTCGGTAGCTCAAGAATTCTTGAAAATAAATATCATCTCCGAACTTTTTGCTGGTTGCCAATGCCTGCTAGCTATATATGTGGTATAAATGGTAACTATTGCATTATATATATGGACGTATGCGTATGTGTTTTATGCTGTTAAGATATAGCAACAGCAATTGGTGTAAAGAAGTGAAGGACTCATGTGCGTGGAATACGTCACAGATGCATTATTGCAACCGCTATGAACTATAGCGATCAAACGCTAGATGTATGAAATTGTAAGTAAAATGGTAATAGAATAAGAGTAGATCGAAGGATCTATCATTTACATCCTACACGGAATGATGTAATGATGTAGCGTGCGTATTCTACATACTGCTGATAACGCTGTCCATCTGATAACTCCTCATTTGGAATTAAAATAGAATTTAATAATAATAATAAAAATGAAGATGTCATGTGTGGATATGAGTTTAGAGTATCTATATGAGCGTATGGACGTGTTCAGTAACAACGAATTGAAACGGCAGTTTTGAACAAAAATACATTTAACCGAATTTGGATAATTTAAGCATGAGAATATAAATTCATATTGATTCGATTATTTCCACTCTTTCATGGCAGCATCATCAACTCGGTATGATATGATATGATGAGGGGCTTTTTATTTTTCTTCCGATATCATTTCTTTTTTTTCGATTCTTCTTTAACAATCGATGATTAGTATTAATGTATGTTGTCGATCTGATGACGATGACTGTCTCAGTGATCAATGAAAGGCTTAGAGGAAGCCAAAGATTTCAGCACCTCTTAATTTCTTTTGACAGGAGTTTATCCAATTATTCACTGTCTCAGTGTCATTCAGCTTGTCAACGGTTTCGAATATTTACTGCTGTAAGTCCGCTTCTGGTTTAAGCTACAGAATAGCAAGATTCACATGAGCGCTATCACTGGTTTAAGTTTCTTTGAACGAAGTGAATGAGTGAATATATGCGATTAGTGATTGGAAGAAGCTTAATCATTAATCGCTTTACTCTACCTTTGAAGCAATTCAGTAAAGAAGCACGACACTGAATTCAAGGGAATTGTCATCGTCTCGGTGATGCTGCGATACGGTGACAGCTTCAGCTATAGGAGGTTTTTAATCTGACATGGCGACTGATACTGGCCGCTTGACAAGTACTCGCGAGGATTTGGTACACAAGATCTCACATTGACAAGTGATTTGGTACAAGTGATTTGGTACACAAGATCTCACAGTGGTGCAAAACAATATCTAATCCAAGGAAAGAAATTGCATTTGACATAGCATCTATTTGTATTCTGATATATCTGTTCTGGGACATCTCGAAATATAGACAGCCAAAAAAGCAGCAAACGTACTAAACTGATGACCAGAAAATCCGAATTACCGGTATCCCGGGGTAGGTACAAATACAGTAGCAAAATGGTTTTACGGAAATGAAACATTCATATATCGCTTCCCAAAAGCGCAAGATGATAAGACCGGACAACGTGCAATGAGATATAATGCTTGTAAAAATAATCGATGATAATTAGCGAGTGGCGAAAATCATTGGAATTCTAAAAAAGTTGTGCTCTCATATAATCACCTTGTCATACAGTTTCAAAACAAATCAAAGAATCCATGGATTAACGTATCGATCATGTGTCATGAAGAAAAATGTTTGATAATATAATATGAATACTGAATGTATCAATCCCGTTGTTTCTACTTTCCATAATTCTGAATATCCAAAACCCCGAAATATTATGTTTCATCCAACACAGAAATGCAGGTCAATCACTAATTTATTCAGAAAATTGAATGTGAAGGAAATTACATAGCTTTTATCTTTTATGATTTCGCGATTATTTACAGCACAGGTTTCCAGCAAATCAAAAACAATATGTGTACATAAAAGACTGTGAAAAACAGAAATTACAAGAATTGGCCTCCTTCATCATGAATAAAAATAATTAAGCGAACTACTGAATACCTTTCAGACTAAACATTAGCAAAACCAATGAGCCTTAAAAAGTGCAAAACTTCACATTGCACGACTTCCGAAAATTTGCCAAATTCTTGACTTGCAAAAATCACTGCCTTTACATGCCTTCAAATAAAATAACGTTGAATTGGTCCTGTTTTTTTTTAAATCTTAAACAATAGCAACATCATCACAGTGAAGAACAATAGTTAGCTAAAAGGAAAGAAAGGGATTGTTGTACAGCACCCGTGCATCATCGTTTGCGCTGAACAACTATTACAATTAATATGTCCATTATAAAGCAGCAAGAGAAGAAGCCTGGTATGATTACATTGAATCAAAGAAGCAGTGGGCGAAAACAGCTCTTTCCATATTTATTGAATAGAGGTATTAAAATGAAGACGTAAAGTACACATTTTCATGACTTTTTTATCAATTTATACATTCTTGCGAATAAAACATAATGAACAAACAGAAAATACCGACTAAAAAAATGCATTTATGTACAAAATTATTTGTTGCGTTATTTACAGTTTTTCATAATGTTACTTTTCTCACAAAAACTTCCCTAGTGAAAATTAAAAACTTCAAAATTCTCACTAAGACCAAAAATTTTTGCAATTCGAAGGATCATTTCAGAAGGTAAATATTTTCTAGAGGTTTCCAAAGACAACAAAAAATTAACAGTAATGTCAAGAATCATTCTAACATCTAGCCATTAGAAATTTCCTGACAGAAGTTATCGGAAAACAGGATTGCTATGACTATGATCTTAATCATGTTTTTAAGAGTAATATCTTTCCGCAGGCCAAATACAATCTTTTGAAAAGTTGCACCAAATTCAGAGGATGTGTATTTTACTTTCACAAAAATCTATTGCTAAAAATTCTTAACCTAACCAAATCTGACTAAAAAATACCGAAAGAAAACATACCCTGAAACATTTAATATTACACCTAAATTTATTCCCAGTCTACACTTATCTATCAGCAGAATAAAACAAGAAATATCATTTTTTTTTTTTGAATTATTCAATGAATTCTGATTTTGAGGTGACAAATTCCTGTCACAAATCGAAATGCCCATTAATGATTTCTACAAGAGATCCATTTATCATTATAGTTAATCTGTTGCATGTATGAACGACTGCTAATAGATAATGAAACTTCTTTCTCTACAAATTCGGAATTTTCATTGCATAAAATAATAAGTTAATGTTGACTGAAAATAGTAAAAAAATCAAGCGATTTGTTCTAACTTGCATTACAACCGATCCGCCTTCCACGTTCCACGTCATCATCATCACCACCTTGCACAGCTAGTCCTATAGATGCAACCACCATATCGAATATACCTGTGTGCATTCGCTTCTGATTTGCTGCCGAAAGCGCCGTAAGACGATGTAATTCACGTCCTGTTTCTCTGTTGTCCTACAAAAAAGGAAAGCTACAATTCACTTCAGAAAAAAGTGCCGCTAGCAGACACCGAACTTCTATCAGCTAGTTTCATAATATTTCTAAGATCTATTCGGATTCATAAGGATTTCCATAATCCCATTTTTAAAGAACTTTAATACTAATAAAAGTCTTACAAGAAACAGATCCCTCTGAATCCATGACCTTGAAAGCTAAACCATCAAATTAGGAGATAGGCAATAAGTTTAAAATTTTGTCCACCTTAATAATGACTCTATATCGACTTGGATCTATATCGAAAAGTAATTTTTTAATCATACGAAAAATAACAATAAAACTTATTACTAACTAATAGCAATTTTATCTAAGATGCTTGTTTGATAAGTTTCATGATCAATCTTGAAAAGCAAAAACTAATGATCAACAGTAATTTTGAATGCTTCAAAAATTTTGAAATTATGGAACTAATTCACCAAAATCTCGACAAATTTCAGAGACGATAAAACGAACCCTTCGGAAGTCTTCATCAAGTGGCTGCCAAAATCGAATAACATGTTCAATTCCGGAGGTTGCAAGCAACAAAATTGATGGATGAGGTTGTACACAATTCAAAATATTCATGTCCGCTTCAAATCCTTTTACCAGAGCACCCGATTTCCTCTCCCAAATCAATAACGAACCACAATCACTGCCTGCGGCAATGTATTCATCTCTACCACCAAACCAAACAGCTTCCTGATAATTAAATTTTGACAGCTTACATTTTGATGCATATAAACTTGAAACAAAAAGTTAAAAATTCATATAAAATTCTCAACACATACTTTTATATCGGTATTGGTATTGCAATGTCCACATAACCGCTGAACGTAATCTGAACAACCATTTGAAGTCCAACTTTTTTGTCCCGCAGGATCAGTTCGCAACACGGCATCTAACCTATCGCAAGAGTGGTCATCCGGAAAGCGTTCCTAGAAGAGTTTTCCCAAAATTTTAGAAGCTTTAAAACCAGAAGACGATGTTTCCTTCGCAATATTCGATATGAGGCAATCCATTTCACCTTGATATTAAATGTTAATGCAAAGGCCAACCGTAAGTTATATACCAGAAAATCAACCGATCGAATGCATTAAATTCATAAATCAGTGTTTTCAACTATTAAATCAAGTTGAAAAAAAATTAAGAAGATAATTTAAACAATATAAAACTAATTTTGGTTATAACTTACGTTCACAATCATTATTTTTGTAATTATTCTGATTAGTTTCAGCACATTCCCCCTATAATCTTATTGTTTCAGTACGATTAATGATTTAATAATAATCCGAAGATGTCAACAATCAATGAATTTTCAAAAATGAACCTTGAATAGTTTCGAAATTCTCCTTGCCATATCATATTGTTTCAGTTCAATTAAGGCTTTAATAATCCGATAGTGTACTTTGCTATTTCTAGGTTCAATTTTCAAGGCCCGTATTAAATCTAGCAGTGCTGCATACGCGTCGCCATCCCATAACCTTCGTAGATAGCTCGCTCCACGATTTGCTAACAGTAAACATAAATCCATCGAATGAGGATGCCCACGTGGTGGATTGTGCCTAAAATAATAAAAATTTTAAGCCTTGAAGAAGAAATTAAAAAAATTTCTTTCCTATTCCAACGGAAAACTTCTGAGAGCATTTGATAACATCTATATTCAGAAAAATCCCTGATGATTCCGATTATCTATATTTTATTAGAAAATACTGCATTTTTTTTTAAAATAAATTTTATGTTTACTCCGCAACTTTCTGCTGCAAATTTTTTTCTAAATAAAGCTGAAATGTAAAGAAAATAGATATCGAAATTTAGATTTCCCATGTAGTGTACCAAAGTTCAAAATAATTTAATAAAAATTTCAGGCAAGCAACTTACCCGCACAATTTTTCACAATCGAGAATTGTCCGACTATATGTGTCAATCGCATCAGTATATTCCTTATTATTAAAATGAATTTTTGCTTGC